ACGTGACAGTCTACACTGGCTACGGGGTGGAGCTCCAGGTAACCCCAGGAGGGTGCCCTGCTGTGGCTTCCTCTTCCAGCAGGAAGGCTGTGGAGGACTGCCGGAGTCAGGCTTACTGTTACCTTCCTAACCAGTTTGGCTGTCTCTAACCAGGGCAATTTTAGCTGGGTTTCAGCGAGTGAGTAGGACTTCCCAACTCACTGCCCTGCTGAAATAGCTTGGAACACATGGAGGGGATGTGGGCTGTGCTGATATATTGTGAGGCATTATACCCAGAAGGACAGCCCCTTAATACCTGCTTATCAACACACACACACACACACACACACACACACACACACACACACACACACACTTGAAGTCCCACCTGGTTCACTTGATTAACTTTCACCTGTAAACTAAGAAAGGAGAAGCAGGGTGGCATAGTGCTCAAACATCTGGGTTTTAAGTCCCACCTCTTCCAGTTAAAGCTGCCTGACTTGGGCAAGGAACTTCCCCTCTCTGAGCCTCAGTTTCCCTACCAGTAAAATAGAAACAATGTTACTGCTTTACAGAGTTTCATGGAGAAGTAAATATGACAGTGCAGAGATCAGAAAGAACTTGACCAAAGCCCAGCAGAGAGAGAGAGAGAGAATCATTTAGCCAGAGCCCAGCAGTGAGAGAGCGAACACTCCACACGTTACCAATTATCCTCAGCATGCTAATCACCCTAGTTCCCAGCCTTCCCCAACTGACTGCCCATCTTTAGAAGTGTTTTTAAAATGGACCAAAGAGACATGTCTGGGAGTGGTAAGCCATCCAGTTCACTGTCTCACAGAGGAGAGGATGGATGTGAAGCCAGAGACGGAAGCCATGATCACATGGTGTCAGATCCTTCTAGGCCAAGGTCAGAGATCTAGATATGTTCTTTTTCTGGGAGAGTTTAATTTAATTTTTTTGGGGGGGTGGGGGAGCTGGCCAGTACAGGGATCGAACCCTGGACCTTGGTGTTATCAGCACTGCATTCTAACCAACTGAACTAACCAGCCAGCCTAGCTATGTTCTTTTTCTAATCAGCAATAAAAAGCCGTCAAAAGTTTTTCAGCTGTGTCAGTTGTGTGACCTTACCAAAACTTTACTTTAGAAAGGTTGTTTTTTTTTTT